ATTAGATAGGACTCAATGAAATACATAAGCAATGTATGAGAAATAATAATAACATTTATTATGACAATTAATTTAAAATACTTTGAAATTACATGTTGATCATAAGAAATACATAATATCAATTTCTATCTTAGTTAGGTTCAATACCTTTGTATAATTCATATGATCGCTATAGACTTTTGTACCATTCTAGCTTGTCAATTCAAGGTTGGGTCTGAATTCTTAACTTTTAAAATTTAGAGTGTAGATTCATCTTGTCAGGTCTTTCGCCTTTACCTGTGCGGGTCTATCCTCAATATATGACTTCTTTCACTTCTCTTCCATTTTCATGTTCATTTTCATAATCATACAGTACTAATGTAATTACTACTGTTTAGTGATTCAACGATTCTAAGGTTTAAAATTGCGTAATTAAGCCTCGAGGCAGTTTTCGTCCGTAAGCTTCGAGGCGGTCTGAGGCATAAGCCTCACGGACACAGAATTGCGTTAATGACAAATTAAGGGTTTTAGTAGGTAAATAATAGCAATATTCTATCTTACAATAAAAACATCTAAATGACATATGAAAATTGTGAAAAATAAGAAAATAGATGCAATAAAATCATGTCCCAAAGTACAAAATCACAAAATATTAGTTTAACAAAACTCCCAAAGCACAAAGAACATATAAAATGCAATCATATCCCATCACTAAATGGGTCTTCAAGGGAATCTTCTTCTCCAATTGTATCTATGAATGCCATATCATCATCATCTTCAATATGACTCACATTTCTCTTTCCTGTTCAATAAGAGAAAAGACATTATCATGTTAATTGCTCACTTGATATAAATATAATGTTATAGCATATAAGAAGTTGTGGAATACCTTTACTTGATTATTGTGCTGCAGAGCTAGTGGATGTGTGTGCCAAATTGGATCCACCATTCAACTGTTTTCAAGAAGAAAAAAGATAATCATAACTGAATAAAGTGTCTTGCATTTACCAAAATAACTATACCTGGAGACCATTTGGAAATGGTTGATTTTGCTGCATTCAGACAAAAAAAACCCTCTTTATTCCGAAATAGAACAAGTTGTAAATCTGCAAGCTCTCTATCTGTGTTCTCCAGTATTAGTCGTTCCATACAATGATACAGACCAAGCTTCACCTTCGGGTTTGAAGTTTTCTTCTCTGAATATTAAAATTGAGGATTGAGATAATATGCCGCTGCATGTAGATGACGGTGTAACTGTACCTCCCACCGAGCATCAATGATATCCCAAATCTCTCTATAACTTGTCTCCTCTCCTCCCAAGTTGTGTGCAATCAACTCCTTAGCCTCATCCATAACATTATAAATAAAACCCATGGCTGGTTTCTTCTCGGCATCCACTAAGCGTAGTACTTGCATTAAGGGTCTCGTGCTCAATATGGCATAGGTCACAGTAGCCCAAAATTTATCATTCAGAAATTATCTTTCTTATTTTCTTCCCCTCACTTTTCTTCCTCCACGCAGAGTTAAGCCATTCTGTTGATGTAAACATTGCTTCCAAAGGTTGCCTCATATTCAACAGGCTCTGCAGTGTCAAATAGGATGTGGCAAACCTGTAGATTTGCAGTGCACAAATGTGAGAACATACAGTGGGAATTGCAATAATAATTTGCAGTGCACAAATGATTTGCAATGCACAAATGTAAGAACATACCTAGTGGTTGCAGGGCGAATGATTTCCTTCTTTGAAAACTTTCTCATCGATGCTAAGACCCATGAGTGATTGTAGATGAACTTTGTGATCTTCTTCGCCCTAGAAAGAACGCTCTTGTGCTGAGGTAAGTCACCAAGATCCTCCAAAATGAGATCGATACAATGTGCTGCACAGGGGGTTCAATATAGGTGTGTTCTCTTCTCCATCAACATCTGACCAGCTGCTTTGTATGCATTGACATTATCAGTCACTATCTGAACAACCAATTGCTCCCCAATCTCCTCAATAACCCCATCTAGTAAATTAAAAATGAATGCAACATTTTTCATCTCATCTGAAGCTTCAACTGATCATAAAAACACCGTGCCGTAGGGATTGTTGACAAGGATGTTAATCAAGCTCCTGCTATTCATGTCAAACTATCCATCTGATATAATGGTAACACCAGTCTCAATCCATATTCGTTTAATCTCATCAATGCTCCGCTCTGTATTCTGCAGCTCCTTCAAAATCCATGTTCGCAACTCGTACATGGATGGTGCCTTCAAACCTCTCGCATACAACCCTACAAACCGCAGCATATTGAAGTAGGCAGGTGATGTCGCAACATTAAATGGTATGGCATTCTAAAAAAAACCTCCCAATGTCAATGCAAACCTGTCGCCAACCTTCTCTGGTACCAGCCGCAGGCATCATCTCTGCTTGTCCTTTATCCTCTCCTGAATTAGTCATATACTGATCCATAGGACCCCGCGCACCTCTATTATGTATAGTGGAGGAAGACTCCTTTCCACTCTCGCTCCCGAAATAAGCACCATGTTAGACCCTTTCATCAAATTGCTCTTGTTTTAAGTGTTTTGTCGTGGTAGTTTTCTTCATGTAAGCAATTATTTCATCCTTCACATTGTCCGGCACTTTTGCACACGGTGCTACGTTCTTATGAGAGCATGATAAGTATTCCTTCATGCGGGTTACTCCGCCCTTCACCACTTTCTCACAAAAATTGCATTTTAAATAGACATACGTCTTCTTGCCCCCTCCTACGTCAACTTGCACACTATATTTCCAAGAAGGGTCACGCCGCAATGATGTATTCGCCTTTTCTTTGCCTCTAACCATGTTTCCTAAAGCTAAAATCCAAAAACACACAAAAACAATAAAAAAAACATAAACCCTAGATTTTCTTATACTTGAAAAATCTAACCCTAAACTTAAAAAAATACCTAAAATCGATTGTAGAGTACTCCTAGAGGGCGGCTGGACACTTCAACTTCACCGGAGAGAGGCGGTGCCGGCGGGAGAAGCGGCGGGAAGGGAAACCGATGGGTGCGGGAGCTCTCTATTTCGCGAACACAGCGTGCGGGAAGGAAATTTTCGGGAGAACTGGGAGCCGTGCGGGATTAAGGAAGAAAAAATCTTCATTTTAAGTGGGTGTGCCCGTTACTATGAGGCGTACGCCTCTGTCAGAATTGCGCAATTGCGCCTCTGAGGCGCGCCTCAGTCCAAGTGAGGCGTACGCCTCTGCCAGGACAGGAATTGCGTAAGCCTCGAGGCGGTTTTGGGTCAAATTGCACAGAGGCGCGCCTCTTATTGCGCAATTTTAAACAGAGAATGATTCACATATTTTTAATAAAGTGGAATAAATTGAAATAATGCTATCATGAACAAAATAAATATGAATTTACACTAAGCGTTAAAATATTCACTTATAATTCCACTAATTTACTCTCAAAATCTACCCAGCCGTTGATTTCCTGCATCTTGAAATCAGCCCATTGCATGCATGGCTACAGTAATGGAATAATTAATGCAATGATGGCTAATAGTTATAAATTAAGAGTCAATTAACTTAGTTAATTTCGATTAACTGTTAATGAAGTGTGTAACAGTTTATTCATATAATAATTATGTAGATAGATATATGCAATTGACTTCATAATTTACACATACTTCTATATATCAAAATATTCAAAATAAAAAGTAGAATTTAATGAAAATAAATTAACATTTATAGAAAGTTTATACTTACATTTTTTTTCGAATATTTTGGATATTATAAAATGTTCACCACCTTCTCTTGCTTTATGTAATCTATATAGATGGATGTTTTGTTTTCAGTGCGCTTCTAGCTATTGCTGCTTTCCATTGCTTACTTTTATCATTTTATTTAGTTTAGCATGCTCGAGTGTGTTGGTTTGTTTTCCAAATCTTTTATTTTGAAATTTTATGTAGTTGGTTGACATGACTCATATTTTAGCTCATTTTGTCTTTAAAATTATCATCGTTATATACTTATGCAGTGATGAAGTTGGCTTCATACACCCATCCCAATTTGCGGAGTTAAATGAAGATTCAGGTGTCTCATGGTCTCCACCTTCTAGCATTTGGCAAATATTAGATGAATCCCGTGAGAGCGACCCAACTGGTTTGATGTGTCTGCGCAATGAGAAAACCGTCTTTTGGTATGGTAATCATAAGTTGGCTATCTCAATACAGGTTGTGCCTGTATTGTATAATGCTGCTCGACTTGCACATATGGAAGCCAGAAGAAGCTATGAAAGGTTAATCAACGTGCCAAAGAGAAGAAGCTCCCTAAACGCTACAAATTTTGAAGTTCAATTTCCAGAAACAGATATCATGAAACACTCTAGGTCTCTTTTGATATTGAGTCCTGAATGTGGCAGTGTCTGGAATTCCAGGTTATTGTTTTATTCCATATAGCCTTATGAGTCACTCATCTATGCTGGTTCCTGCATGTATGCAGCATTACCCCTTGTTTCATAGAGGATATTTGTGTTGCTGGACCTTATGGCATTAGCAACTTCAACTTTTAGGATGATGCTGACATTATAGTGCAGGATTGGTTGTCCTAAGTTTCATGTGGTTGTCATAGTTGTTATAGTGTTTGGCTCGGAATTTTCTTACTAATGTAGAATGAGGGCTCCTAACGAGGAGAAATTATTCTATGCAGAGTCCGGATGTAGCTTTGCATACCGACGCCAATAAAATTATTACGTATGGATTGCCTACGTGGCAGTTGCCGACATGGGTTGCTCGCCCCGATTTTAATCTGTCTTGTCAGCCCACCACCTGCCCTGCTTAGAGAAAGGTAAAAATGTGAAAAAATGACAGTCCAATTTTCACTTTTCAAGCGCCTATTCGATTTTTAACATCCGACATTTGTAGTGCTCAAAAGCTCTTATATTCAATTCTCTTTGCAACTTCCGGCATTCTATCAGTTCCTGAGCAAATGACGTTACATGCAAAAAAAAGGTTAGGGGCTTGTGGAGTTAACACCGATTGAACTCCTTAATGAATGCATATTTTTTGCTCATTTATTGCATTTTTATTGAGTACATGAAAAATTTATGTTTTTATTGCTTGCTTACCTTTTTTGTATATTAATAATAAACAAATAAACAAATTAAATCCTTAAAAATCTAAACATTAAAAGCTATAAAAATTTAGTGATTTTTAACTTGATAGTGATTGTTGCGTAATTTACATGTGAACACTTTCGTATATTATGCATAAATTCGGCGTAATTTTTACGTATTTGTTGCGTATCTTCTATTTTTTATTTATTTTATTTGTTTATTTCTTAATTTATTCAGGTCTATGTTCGACCTATTACCTATCGATGCTATGTTTTGATCTTCCGATCAACCTGCAATAATTTTGCTCAGCTAGTTTCTCCTGATGTTGAGGACAACTTAAAGAAATTAAATCTATACTAATTTTTACAATTTCTTAAATTTGAGCAAAATGTCCCACTTATTTTCGAGTTGCTTACAATGTGAAATATTTCAAGGCAATATTTTATTATAAAGAATCATGCTATATCTTTCATTGCTGATGAAGTGAGCTTTCTTATTGGCCTTCCAAACAGAAGTGAAGAGATCTCCTGACTTTCGTTATCATCTACAGAAGTCACATCAACAGATATGAAGTCCGACATGCTAGAGTTGAATAAACATAGCTCCCAGAGAGTAAGTTAAAAATATTTAATATATATTTATATTCAAATTTATTTTTCAACTTAATAACTTTAAAAACCCTAAGTTACTCCTTATAATATCAAATAATGCAGATGAGTTTCTATCAATTTATTGGTGTTGTCGATTAGGTAATATTTAGTTCAAAATTTTTAAAAAATCTCCATCAAGATTTCAAATAAGAAGTCAGCATGTTATATCATTGATTTTATGACTTTGTTAATTAATAGTGTTAAAATCATTCTTTTTTATTTAATTTTACTAATTCAATTATTAAAATTAACTTGTTCTTATGCAGATTTGATTTTTGGAGCACACTTCAATTCATGCTTCAAAGTATCATGATCAATAGTTCAGTTTCCTTCGATAGACCGATGTATTGTATATATTATCGACTTGATTGCTAATTTATTTGTTAACATAAAGGAAAGATATGTATGTCATGCAACAAATTTTAATTAATACTTTTAAAAAAATAAGAATTTACTAACAAATAAATTTTTAGAGATTTTTTATCCTCTAAGGAGTTACCCAAGATGAAGATAATTTGTTGGGCATCTAGAAATATCCATCACGCAGCCCTCCTTGCATCATGAAACAACCTACCCTGTAGCAAGAACTGAATTCCCCATTGTGTGATGGATATTTCGGGTTGCTCAGTTGATTAGCTTCCTCCTGGGCAACTCCTGAACGACAAAAAAATTTGTAAAAAAATTATTTGTTAACAAATCCTTATTTTTCTTTGATGTATTAATTAAAATTTACTGCATAACATACATGTCTTTTTTATGTTTAGAAATAAATTAGTGATCTTGTCGGTAGTATATATAATGCTATCAGCCCATCGAAGGAAACATAGTTTTGATAATGATACTTAGGAGCATGAATTCAAGTGTGCTACAGGAACCAAATCTGTATAAGATCAAAGTTAATTTTAACAAATGAATTAGTAAAATTAAATTAAAAAAATAATTTTAGCACTCACAATTAACAGAGCCATAAAACTATTAATGTAACTTGTTGGCTTGTTATTTGAAATTTTGATGGAGATCTTATTAAACTCTTGAATTAAACATTTTTTAATCGACCCCGCAAGTTAATTGATAAAAATTTATCTACATTATTTGATATTGTATGGAGCAACTTCGGGGTCTTAAAATTATTAAGGTGAAAAAATAAATTTAAACATAAATATATAATAAATATTTTTAGCACAGTCTCTGTGGGCTATGTTTGTTCAACTCTGCATGTCAAACTTTATATATGTTGATGTGACTTCTGTAGGTATCAAGGAAAATCATGAGATATCTTCATCTCTGTTTGGAAAACTAGTAAAAGGGAACTTCATCGGGAGTGAAAGGTATAACATGACTCTTTATAATAAAACATTGCCTTGAAATATTTCATATTGTGAGCAACTCGAAAATAAATGAGACGTTTTATTTGAATCCAGGAAATTGCCAAAATTACTAGGTATTTAATTTCTTCAAGTTGTCTTAAACATCATGAGAAATTAGCTGATCAAAATTATTGCAGATTGATCGGAAAGTCGAAACATAATATCGATAAGTAATAGGTCGAACATAGATCTGAATAAATTAAGAAATAAACAAATAAAGTAAGAAAAAAAAAATAAAAGATACACAACAAATACGTAAAAATTATGCCGAATTTATACATAACATACAAGTGTTTACACATTAATTACGTAGGAATCACAATTGTGTTAGAAATTATTAAACTTTTATAGTTTTTAATGTTTAGGTTTTTTAGGGTTTAGTTTGTTTAGTTGTTTATTACTAACATATTTCGATAGTAAGTAAGCAATGAAAACACAAAATTTTAATGTACACAATTAAAATGCAGTACATGAGCAAAAAATACGCAGTTATTATTGAGTTCAATCATTGTTAACTCTACAAGTAACTAACCTTTTTTTTTACAGGTGACACCATTTGTTCAGAAACTTATAAAATATCGGAAGTTGCAAGGAGAAGCGAATGCATGAGCTTTGGAGCACAGCGAATGCTAGATGTTGAAAATCGATTAGGCGCTTAAAAAGTAAAAATTTGACCTCCATTTTTCCTTTTTACCTTTCTCTAAGCGGGGCGAGTTTCGGGTTGACAAGACAGGTTAAAATCGGGTCGGGCAATCATTGTTGGCAATTTCCACGTAGGCAATGAAGGTGTAACGATTTTATTTGCGTCCGAACGCACAGCTACGTTCGGACTCTGCACCGAATAACTTCTCCCTAAGAAGAGGCAAAACATCTTTTTTTTTTTCCCGGACAAGGCTGGGTTGCTTGGGGCATGCACTAGCTGGCTTAAGTAGTTCTAACATTTGATCTTAAATAACCATGGCGGGCTCATGGATATGTTATTGTCAGGTACAACTTAATTGTTGAGAAATGGATTTTTGTGGAAGCTCAGATGCTTGGGCAGGCTCCAAAGAGAATGTATTCGACATTGAATCATTCACTAGTGGTTTAAAGGGGATTCCCTCTAAGACTGCATTATCAAATTAGGAGAATGGAGCTCATCAAGGTTGGGCGCGTGATATGATTTACATTGGGCTTTTCTATGCCAAATGAAACTCTACTTTTCCCGCAGCAGTGTGTGGAGCTATAGTAGCTACTTGGTACAGAAATGTCCTCTTGATAAATAGACACTGATAAGTTTCCTTCCAGGTTAAGTTTTCAAAATTCAGAAAGAATGGTGCCTGATAGTTGACTTTAATTGTCTAAGGAAAATAATTTCCACCGGAGCTTTTATAATGTGCATATACACAATCCAATGCAATGAATCATTTAGAATTTGTGCCCTAAGATCTAAATTAAGTGAAATTAAATATAATTTAAAATTTAAGCTTTATAAATATACACAATCCAAAGCTTGTAGATTTGTTATGAATGTTTGTCTAAGAGAATAATTTGAAGTCAACCTTATCTAACATAAAGTTTTATGGTATACCAGATGGAAACTATGATTTACCACTAATGGGATTTAGGCAATTGGGAAAGTTGCGAGCTTTGGCAGTTACCATAATTTAGTGGTGTATCATGTTGTCTAAAGGCCTCATTCATAACCATACCTTTACAATATCATTTAGTAGCAAAATCACCCTATGTCCTTACCAGCATGAAGCCTTTGGGAGTAACCATAGAGGTATGCCTGATATGGTATTGCTTTATCACGAGCTGAGGTTATCTTAAATTTGTCACCTTAGATAAATAATTGCAAAGGATGCATGGGTTGTTACTTTAAGCTTTAGGCTACCAAATTTGCTTGAACATTTTTTAATTTTTTGATTTTTTTTGAATTTATGTAGTTTTATTAGGATTTAAGCTCAAAATGTTTTTCATTGGGATTGGGGGCATTTTGAACTAAAGTTTCTGATGTAGAACGAAAAATCTGAACTATTTCTATGGGAAGGAAAGAGAAATAGTTCAGATTTTGATGAATTAAGTTTGGGATTGTGAGGATTTTCTTTTGAATTTGGGAGGGAAAATCTGAACTTAATTCCTCCAATCAAAGCCTGTTGATTAGGAAAGAATTTAAGAAAATATTCCTATCAGGAAATCTGAAACAATTCAGATTTTTCTCATAAAATCTGAGAGAATTGGAGGTGGAGAGGAGAATTGGGAGTGAGAGAGGAGAAGGGGCGTCTTCATCCCAGCAAGATATTGACGTGGGAGAGAGGGAATTGGAGAGGATTTAGTGGAAGGGGATTAATGAGAGGGGCTTTGGAAAATTTGGCCGACAGCAGATTGAATTCCCAACCTTTTCCCAAAGAGGAACAAAGTAATGTAAATAGTTTTTGAGAAAATTTGTAAGGAATTTGACGGGAATGTTGGGAGAAATTCCAAATCAATTTATGTAATAGAATAGGAAAGAAGATATGAGAGGGAGAGGAGGGGGCGGGTGGTGTAGAGAGGGGAGCAATTAAATTACTTCATCAAGAGGGGGGTTAACTTTGGAAGTAATTAAAGATGTGGGGCCTTGAAAGTTTCGGCTAGGAGAGTGATGGAGGAAATAAGAATTAATGCCAAGGAAATTGGTGGGCTTAATTTGAAAATAGATTTCAAATTAAGAGGCCATTAATGCTTAATTGGGGAATTAATTTGGATTGATTGGATTGGAGAGAGGGGGGGCGGCCATGCAAGGATGGAAAGGGAGTTTTAATGCTTTAATTGTGATTACTTAATTGGGGTGTGGAGTTTAGGAAAGAAATAATTAAACCCTATTTGAATTTAAAATTCAAATAAAATTCATTTAATAACTTTCCAAAATAGAATGATAAATTATGAAAGAATTCAAAATTCAAATTAGTGGAATTTGAAAATTTGAAAACCGCCCAAAATTAAATCACCCAAATTAAGTTTGAATTACATCATGAATGAGACTCAATACTTTCCTAAAATAGCTTTCTAATTTAGGAAACTATTTCTGAATTTCAAAGGATGAAAATAATTTCCTAAATTATTTGAACTCTTTAGGCAAGCATTAAGGTTACATTGACTCCTCATTCATGGAGACAAACAAGAGTGGTCGGCAGTGGAGGAGCTAATGGGGGAAGGTGGTCGGCGGCTAAGAGGGTGGGATAGGGTGAAGGTGGCCGGCGGCTATGGGGAAAATTTGTGGAGCTTGGTATGGAGGTTTGGCCAAGGGGTTGAGCGGGGAGGAGGAAAGATGAAAAGATGAAAACGACTACGGAGAGCAGTAAAAGAAACAAAACAAAACAAAGATAAAACGAAAGATAGAAGACAAGAACCGCGAGCCTTGGACTCTTCCGAAGGCTGACGGGTGATGCTTTTCCCTTCTCCAAGGGACTTCAATTCACGAGCCCGGATCAATCCTGCGACTGGTGAAAACTTCGATTCCTTCACATAGGAATCTCACTCTCGTCCTCTCTCAAGAACAAAGAACACAAGTTTGGAACACAAAATTTTCATAACAATTAACTATCCTCTTACAATAGCTTGAGGCCCTATATATAGGCCACAACATGAGAAAAATTAAACATTACAAAATTGCCCCTTGGGCCACAACACTCACATAAACTAACATAGGGGTAAAACAAGAAATAACCGAAAATAAGAGCTATAATTTAGAAAATAAAATTTAAATGACAATTTAAATTAGAGCCGTCGATTTACGACGCCTCCTGTGATAGATGCGTCAAATCTTCGTGCCGATGTCCGCATCAGTTTCCTTCGGTTGAGATTTTCTATCAAACCCGACCATCATCAGGGAGGTTGCCTGAAATAGGTGTATTTGTGACTTGCGAGGTTGGTTTTGAGAATGGACCCCTTTTAGTTGAGATTTTTTGTCACCACGATCAACGATGGAGGACTATTTGTGTCATTTATAGTTACGCCTTTTGAGCTTTATTTTGAGATTGAATTCCTCTGGTTATGATGTACAATAACTAAGCTATTTGATTGAACATTATCATTTCAGACCTTGTTGACTCTAAAACTTGCTTGTAGACGATCGGTTTTGTGGTTTGTATATTGTTTAAGTTCATTGGGATATTTGTGGAATTATAGGCATTATAGACTCTACTTCCTGTATGTAGATGATCGAGCCAATAAATTAAAACTCACAATTGTAAGTGTAACATTGAGGGTTTGCATCTTTTTTGGGAAAAGTGATTTTTTTCCTGTTAAAGGCTTTAAGGCCTCATGCAAACATAAGACAATTTCTTGTCATTTTGTGCTTATCATGTAATTGGGTTGTAGTCTTGTCTAATTCCAATCTTTGGGATGTGGAGAATCAAACTTGAGAAGTGGGACTTAGGATTCTATCATATAGGTAGGTTGAATTGCTCAAGAGCATGTGTATGCGTTGATGATTTTGATTTTGAAAAGTTAGTGATGCAGACATCCAACCGTCCATGCCTATTCGAGGAGTTGAAGATCTACGGCCGGGATCGTCCTACGTTATCTTAAAATTTTATTTGTAATTTTTATTTTAATTATGCATTTTTCATTTTTTACCCTTAAGGGTCTAGTCTTATGTAAGCCCTAGGGGCATAATCGTCTTATTTTAGTTTCTTTTCTTTCTGAGGCTTATATATAGTGTAATGATATGATGAAGTTTTAATAAAAAAATTGGTCTTCATTTTTGTTCATTGGGAGGACTTTGGTGAGATTCCTATGAAAGGAAATCGTAGTTTCCACCAGCCGTAGGATGAGTCCAGGTTCGTGGCTTGAAGTCCCTTGATGAAGGGTAACACAACACCCGTCAGCTGTAGGAAGCGTTCGGGCTCATGATTTTTTTTTTCTTCTCATTTTTTTAATCACCATTTCCATCATCTTTCCAATCCCGCCGGCTTCATCCCCTCCGCCCGAACCTGCTGGCCTCTTCCCACAACCATCTCTTCTTCCCCATCGAAATTCCTCAGCCCCGTCCTAAGCCTAACCGGCTATCTTCGCCCCACCTCCAAACCGCCAACACCCTCACAAACCCTAACCCTAATACCTCCATAGTCGCCGGCCACCTTCTTTTCCCCATTGGCTCCCACAATTTCAACTTGCATTCAAAGCCTTCCTATTTTATACATCTTAATTTGGCAACGAATTCAAATTCAAAATTCAAATTAATTTGAATTTGAATTTGTTTACTAAATTAGGATTCTTATTTTAGGAAAGTTGTTTAAATTAGGTCCAATTAAATTTCTGATTGGATTTGATTTCAATTGATTTTCTTCAATTTCGGATTCCAATCAAGGCCCACTTTAATTGATCCCTAAATCCTCTCCTCTCTCTACCCGCCGCCCCCTCTCTCTTATCTCCTCTCTCTACTTAATTAATGCTTCTCCATTAAGGCCCTCAATCTCTCTCCTATTTTAATTAATTCCTTCCCAAAAAATGGAACTCCATTTAAGGGATTAATTAAGTAACCCCTTCCCTCTCTTTTCCAAATTCCAATCACTCCACTACAACCCACTGGCCAAGAGTTTTCCCCCACCCTACCCGCCGGCTATACCCTCCTCAAGTTCCCTTGATTCCAATTTCATTTCACCATCATTACTTTCCTAAATTAGCTCCTATCTTATTTAGAAAGTTTCCGAAGTCAAATTCAAATGAATTTGAATTTTAAATTTTCTCAAAATATCTACATCTATTTTAAGAAATCCTTCAATCATATTAAATCTGAAATTATTTCAGATTTAACTCTTCACATACATTGTATATGGACACCTTTTCTTTGCCTCATTAGGCTGACCCCTCTCTCTCTCTCTCTCCTATTTTAATTATTTTCTTCCTTCTTAAGGAATTCAATTAGGGGAATAATCCCTCCATCTTATTTGAATTTCAAAATTTTAGTCCCTTGATTAGAGGAAATTTGAAATTTAATTTCAATTTTTTAATCTTATTATCTTCCCCCGCCCCCTCCATTTTATATCAGTTAGTTTGCAAGGTTTCAAATCAGTTTTATGCTTATCGAAGCGGGGTGAATTTGAGTTATTCTCTGACTTTAATTGCAAATATTTAGCATGTTTGTTGGAATGCATGTGGATATATTTGCCTTTGATAACCTTGCACATTGTTCGTGACATTGCATTTATATTAAAAATTATCTCATTATATTCATAGAAGACTTGAATTTTTTTAGGTTTAAATGTTTGCAAGAATGATTTTCATTAAGATGAATGCAAAATTTTCATTTGAAGATTTTAACAATTGCATTCTATTTGCAGACATATATGTGTTGCAAATTTGGTTGTGATGTTACAATTTAAGTTTTTGTTATGCATTTAGAATAATGCATTTTGTTCTGCATTTAGTCCTCATTTGCTCAAGTAGAGTTCTAGAAAATATAGTAGAGAAATTATGTTCCTACTTGTGAATGAGCTATCAAGTTGCCTATATGTTCTTGTGCTTGTTCTATGAAGGTTATTTTTAGTTCTTTCAATGTAAAATGTGATGCAGCCTAAGTGCTTATTGAAAGGTTTTGATCATGCTCTTTGATAATCTGTCCAGTAATACTATTTATTTCTGTGTTCAAATTTTTATTTAGCTCTAGTTCTTGCAAGTTATTTGATGAGACATGCATTGTGTTTTAGGCATCCAATTTTCTTATTTTGGCAAATTTTTTAATCTTTCATGGCAATTTTCATTCATCATTTGATTTTTTTTTATTATGCTTGAAATTAAGAATGCATCTTGTAATTATTCTATTTGAGTCATTATTAGGCTAGATTTCAGTAGCCTTCCGAAGGCCTTGTTATTATTTTGTTTGAGTCATTATTAGTGTAGATTTCAATAACTTTCTGACATTTTCTCCACATAGGGGGTATTTGGGGGAGTGCTAGGTTTTCCCATCATGTCAAGAAAGACGTATATGGGTTGTGTAAAACACAATGATGGGGTTTTTATCTCTACCATACCAAGAAAGGCATGTATAGATTTTTGTACTTTTGCACAATTTTCCCACCATTTCTAGGACCCATACATGTACTTATTTTTGCTTGCTTAAGGTTTTTTTAATTCCTCTTTTTAAATTTTTTATGTATTGAAATATAAAGAGAGAAGTAGAGAGATATGGAAGAAGGGGAGAGACAGAGGGTTGTGGTCGAAGTGTTTTGTGGGAAATTGTTATTAGGGAGATAAGATGCAAATGATTTATTCGGAGATGAATGATGGTGAATGTTAGAGGGGTTGTTGATGTCTAGTAGTCATCAGTGTTGTTACAAGATTTAAGGGACGTTCGCTAATGACTTTTTATTGAGGCATGAAGAGGGAGATCATGCATTGCAATGGTTTTTTTTTTGGTTGCAATGTTGAGGGTAATACTGAGACAATTTGCGGTCCGATGGTTTGGTTGTGAAAGGGAAATATGAGAGAGAGGGGAGTGTTGGCAAGCTCCCTTCTCGATTTGTGCTTCTCTATTAGCGAAGTCTTTTTTAGTCCTATGGTGCCTTTGCAAGTGAGCTCCCGTTGCGACTCGCTACTTGACCTTTCAGGATTTCAAGAACTAGGTAGGAGCTAGAGATATGGTGACAATAGAGAGGATAGGTGTGAATAGTCTTATTGATGTCTTTGTCAGCAAGCTCCCACCCAGTTCTCTGCTTCGCGTGCCATTTGTCTTATTATTGCCTCCTAGTGTGCTCCTTTATGACTTACTCATTTTTTTGTAGCAAGGCTTTTGAGAATTTGTGCAAGAGTAGAAGGTGAAGCACGTGAGGAGATTTTTTTTATAGACTTGGACCCTTTTTTAGGTGAGGATGGGAGTTCATGTCGCAATATTAAATGCCTGAGGACGTGAAATGCGATTTACCGCATGATTATGAGTATGGGGCTGTGGAGATTTTGAATTTTTAACCTTATATATATATATATATATATGTATGTGTGATAATTAAGATTTTTTTATGTATGTTGACTATTACTTGCATATTGTTTTCCATTGACACATCTGGAATATCTTGTTGCTTGCATTGGTAAATTTTTTGATATAGTGAACTAGCCAATTTAGACATTTCAGATGCATTGGAGTTGTCCGATTTGTGAAACCAACAACATTTGAGTCCTTTTTATATGACTGAGATGTTTCGAACAAGAGTTACATGATGTTACATCTATCATTTACCATTTTCATTTTGCTTTATCTAATTGATTGCAGGTACCCTTTGTAAGTAATTTTGATGCTTCAAACTTATTAGCATAGTACATTTTGGGAAACAGTTGACATTTGTGTGTTTTTTTTTGGTATGATAGAGGGCATTTCGAAAATTGCATCTATCCTTCGTTTCTTTCATCCCGATTGGATTGGATATGGTGTGTTAACGGATTTCAACATCTTATTGGGCTTATTATGGTGTTATTTAATTTCTCTAGCTTTCTTTTCATTCTAGGCTCGCAACTTATGCTATAAGTATTATATCTTTTTACCTATTAGACTAAAAAAAATATAATATTTTTCTTTTATATTTTTACCAACACTTTCCATTTGGCTTTGGTATCTTAAAGCTGAAAATGGTTTTATTTTGGAGCAAATCTTTTATAAGCTATCACAAATATTTGATTCCAGACTAATTCTTTGTGCTGCGCCTGAACTATCGATGTATGCAAATTATTTCAAGCATAATCATGCAGGATATCATAATTTTAACATATTGTTGGTTGCATTTTCATTCTATTTGCACATAGCGTTCATAATTTCCTACGTTCTTTATTGAAATTTGATGTATTGCAGTGGGGCAATGGTTTCAAGAGTGTCAACTCAGACAAATTTGAATATTAAGATTCTTCATTTTTTTTCATAAACTGTTGAATTTCCTAGTTCAAGATATGCAGCTAGAATCATGATGCTTTGCTTGGCATAAATGTGAAAGATAATCTTTTGTAATTCTACTATTATTAGGTCTGTGCATTTTGATTGCATTGATTATTTTATGCAGGAAACTGGTGCTCTCAAGGGAGCCTAATTTGGCATTGCTTATTGATGAGTTAAACTTATCCATGCTCATTCTTTCTTATTCCCCAAAAAGTGAGCAAGCGTGGAGCCACAGGTGATGCTCCATTCTCAAAAAAACAAGGTCAACACCTTCAATTATTTGTAAATAGAAATTTTAGTTTGGGCATAAGCCTGGCTTAAACCCACCTCAAGAGAGTAAGATGAGCCAAAATATTTTTGCTGTTTTATTTAGCTTGAAAAGATCAAATCCCATGTTAAGGGAAAAGTGCAGTTATTAACTATTCTTACGTGCTCTTTCTCCCTATATCTATAGTTAGTGTAATTAAAGAGTTTGGCTTACTTCAAAAATGAAGTAAAATTATTTACACTACATTAATTTGCTCCACTTTGTATTCCAACTAAACACTAAAATTTTCAAAACCCCTATATTTAGAATACTTTACACCACTTGTATTCCAACCAAACTGCACCTAGAAGTATTTGGAATTCATCATCTAGTTCAATTTTGATGTATTTAAAATCATTAGATTTGACCGAGTTCTAAATACATTGTCATTTATTTGTCATTCCTGCAACAATAGCCGCCGTTTGTCACCGCTGCCACCACTAGCCACTACCGTCGGCTGCAACCGGTCATTATTATTGATGGGTTTGACACTGCATTCATTTTTATTTCAAGCCAAGCAACAAAAATTAATTACTTACATTTATTTTTCACTCATCCAAATAACTCCAAAATATACATTGCATTTATTTACTCTGCATACCTTTTTTAGCAAACCAAATAGACCTTAACAAACAACTTAGCATGTGTGCTTAGGTCTTAAGCTTCAGAGGTCTTTGCTTCGCCTATCCTTGATTTGCTTATCTGAAGCTGCAACCAGGTAAAGCCCATAGATGCATGGAGAGTGCGGCTTCCTCTGCATTCAAACCGACCACTTTTACATAAAATAAATTATACATTGAGATTATTTAATTTCATTATCAAACAAATTTATACTCATGAAGTAGGTGAAAATTTCCTATTTGAAGCTCCAGAATTGATTTGATCCCATTTCTCTTAGTTAGGTTTTTTTTCAATGGATTGATTTTTATACATACTGATGACTCCTAGGCGCTGGGTGATCAAGAAGATAGCTGAAAAGTTTCTTGACCTATATGACATCATTGGAAAAGAATCAGAGTTTGTGAAGAGAATAGCCGAGGTCATGTGTTTTAGTTGGTTATTATGCTTCGGTTAATCATTTATGTGACTTCTGGTTTCAATTATGATGACATATGCTGTATACTTTTCGTGGCATTTCCTGTTTCAACTGTGGTAAATTTTATCAAGAGGAAATGGCTTAAAATAGTGGACTAGCGTTGATCCTGGGGCTTTCTTTTCAAACGGTTATCATGACTATAGCAGTAGGTTGTGGGGAGCACTTTGCCATGTTTCTCTAGAAAATTATGTGGGAAAAAGAGGTGAGTTATATGTTTAGTAAAAATTGGCTAAAGTGGAAAATAATCTGCTTATTAGGTGTCAATATTTTACACCACCCAAAAACCTGACCCAAGCCCGATACGAAAATTCCTGGTTAGGGTCAACCCGTTTGTCATATGGGTCGGGTTCGGGTTCAACAAATCGACCTGTTTCAAAAATTGAATCAGGGCTCGGGTTGATCCTGAAACTCGAAAATGACTTGAAGATCCGGACTTTAACTTATGCAGTCCCGCTCTGCCTCCATGCTCGCAAGATCTCGCGGTTTTACGGCTCCTGAGCTCGGGTCCACACCGGACCATTCGGCCTAGCTTCGCTCCGCCGCTCTCGCAAGACCCGCATCGCTGACCCCACGGCCGCACCGTACCCTGGCTCCGTGGCTCCCCACGCTCGCTCTGGCTCCACTTGCCCGTGGGTAACGTGACCTCCGTATCGTTGCACCGCACCCTTGCTCCCCTGTCTCTTGCACCATGAGGGTGAGCGTAACACAACCCAGTAAAATTCTGGTTACCGTGTCGGGTTGGGTCTACCCGGTAACTCGACGGGTTCGGTCCTGGTCTGAACTTTCAACCCATTTACATAATCTGGTCGGGTTATGATCAACCCATTTGAACCCTGGTAAGTTCCGGGTTCAAACATGATTTTGACACCTCAACTACTTATGGCATAGTCAATAAAAATAATGCTTGAAATAAGTTAATTTGTGATGAAGATCTAGGTTATGAGATGTATGAGATGAACGGGCATGTAAATTTGAATAAACTTTCTTTACATAAAGTATGAGATGCTTATTGTTAGCATAAACATATCATTTTGATTTGCATCTCAAAGAAATGCAAATGTAGCAAAGTTGGGTTTGTAGCCATGCAATATCACTCGGTGACATCTACCAACTTTTGCACTAGCATCATAAAATAAACACAGTAGAAATGAAACCCGTATAATGTAGCTAAAGCCTAAATGCAACGAATAACGTCAAAAGATAATAACATTGTAAATGTACCAGAGTTGTTGGTAAGAGAAAAACAAAGTGTTCTCGGATATTCAAGCATATGGATGTAACCAGCCAAAATAATCGCGAGTTTGGAAGAAAAGGAAAGGTAAAGATATAACTTGGCCTTACGAAGCAACACTTTAGATTGAGAAAAGAGCAAAATGGAATTGCAAAAAAGGACACAGAATTGAAGCTATTTTTATCAACTATTCCAAAAATGGCTAAGTGGTGCATCTAAAGGAAAGTGCTACAAAAAACTAGCAAGCTAAACACAAATTAATGCATTTCATTTTTTTTTATTTTTGGGTTGGGGGTGGGGGTTGCTGTGAGGTTGGCGGAACCTAAACAAAGAGTATGAGAGGACAAGAGGAATGAACAAGGTTTGACGTGGTAAATATTATTTTTGACAGAAAAAATGCCAGATTCTCTGGGGTTGTTGTGTGTTTAGCAGAAACTAAACATGGAGTATGAGATATCAAGTAAGAGGAAGGAGCAAGGTTTGACACAGTAATATCATTTTTGACTGAAAAATGCCAGAATATACTTTAGAGAAACATCTTTGACTAGCTAGAAAGAGCTACAAAATTAGATGGTGTTGAAAAGATGGTGTCAATGACCTAGTGGGCAGTAGGTGGTGGTGAATTAATTGATCAGTTTTAAAACCTTCTCCTTAATGAAGAGACCAATCTAGTGTCTTCATGTCACGCTAGAAGATAATGATGTTTTTTTGTCAGGGGAAGATGCCATTTCTAATATCATAATTTCATTGTGGTGAAGAATGAAGTTATTTGACTGAGGGGTATTTGATGGTGGCGGTGGCAATCTTAACTTTGACTTGGGCAATAATCAGATTTTAGTTATTTGTAGTCATGAGAAAGATATATCTGGAGATGGAGCTGTGGGAGATTAAATTGGTACGGATGCAGTTTATTTATTTATTTTTTCCAAAGATATTTGATGTCCATCAACTGAGGATCAAAGGCCTTCCCCATCAAAATAGAGGCCGTTTTTCAAGGAACGAAGGCTTTCTCAGAACAAAGACTTGAATGAAGAACAATCATTTACCAAGCAAGGATTGGAAATCACCATTAATTTTTTTGTGTTGTTTAATTAGTATAAAGATACTTAAATTGTGGCATTTTTCTAATAAATAACCAGGATGAATGCTGATTTCAGAACTCCTGCACTAGCATGATTAAATAAACACATGAGCAGCAAATCCCTGAAATAACGCTGTAGTCAAAGTGCACCGTCTATCAAATTATTGTAACATAGGTCATGACACCAGAGTTGTTGGTAAGTGCAAACAAAGAATTCTAGAACATTTAAGTGTATTGATATAACCTGTCAAAATAATAGAGGGAAAGTTTATCTATTAAGCGTATTGACACCCATTTTGTTGCTCTAATTTGAAATTTGTCCATTTATACAAACACAAGCAAATGATTTACTGAGGGTTAGATATGCAAAGTTGGAGGAGATGAAAGATTTTGCTTAACATGGGATGAAACTATAAGAGAGGCTATAATTTCATGGAAGGATTGATAATCATTTTGTTTGTAGGAGATTGAGGGGGAGTTGGTAAGAGAGTATTCAAATGGGCTAGAGCAAAGCGACATGGTTGTGGATTAAGTTGCTGGCTATATGGAGGTTGTAAAGGATAATAAAACTAAGACGGAAGGTAAATCGGGGAAAAGGGATTGGTGATCAAGAACTTAGTAAAGCTAGGAATTTTTTATTGGATTGAAGGGGAGTTGGGAACCGTGATGGACGAGGTTGATTAAGTAAGGTATGTAGCAGGGTATAAGTTGTTGAAATTTTTCATAGGTTCTAAAAGAGATTGGGAGAGAGCTAAGGCTTAAAGTGAGCAAAGTTTTGGAGTTTTATAGTAGGAAATTGGCAAATGAGTAAATAATAAATTAATCTTACGAGGAATGATAGTTGTGTACAAGCACTCGGGCAATTATTATTCAAATTGAATGTATGAAAATAAGGTTTCATCATATGATGGTTGTTATCTTGATCCTAAAATTAATGAAAGTTTGTGGAATATAAAAATGTGTACAAGCACTCGGGCTATTTTTAATAGGCTTATTGGATTGCAGATAAGACACTGCTCAATAACTTTGAGCTTATTTTACAAGGACTTTATAATTTGGTTCTAAGTTTCTTATAGGCACAAACCCCTATGGTTAACTGGCTCTTCTATTGACGAGAGAGAACTTTCAATTAAGATTGGACGTTGGATAGACACTAAATGCTTAGCATATACTAGCAACAAATTGATTTAGGATTGATAATTTACCACCATTAACTTAAAGCAGATAAATGATGAACTCGATTAAAATTTCATGGCTTTGTTATCCCAAGATGTTATGGTCCTTAGTTTACTTAGTTAGAGGACTTAACCAACCCAACATAACAAATGTTGAAACATCCTTATTGGAATTCACGAGTTGCTCCATCCATACTTGTCAATGAAGAATGGCGCACCATGTTGCAAAATTCTTTGGAGCCATGATACAAAATGCGTGGTGCGACGTGCTCCATTTTAAGCATGATACACAATATAAAATAATGTTAAACAAACATTATATTAATATAAATACCATTAAACATCAAATAATATGTTGATTTGAGCAAGATTTAAACATAATATCCTCCCAAATAGTAAAATGATCACTTTAAACACTACATAAACTTATATAGATAGATTTGAGCAAGAGCATAATTTTAGCCTAAATCCTGCCAAACATAAAAAATGACAATTTTAAATCCTACAAGAAGTTAAATCCTATTCCTTCCCCATTTTGTTGTCATTGAAGGAAGCGAAGACGCTTTCTAAAGCGACTCATTCAAAACTCTACTTCACGCAATGCATGCAAAGTCGTACCAGCAATGATGCCGACGAGAAAAGTAAGCCCTAAATTCTATTAAAATAAAATAATTTTATTGATATTTTATTAATTTAATGTTTAATTAATTATGATATTAATATATAAACAAAAAAATTAATTATAATTTATAATTTAAAATTTATAACTTTTTAACAAAATAATGTGCGCTATGTGTGTCATTTTACATTGATAATGTATGGCACAAATATTGCGCGCTATTTTGAATGACTACGTTGCGCCAAGCAAATTGTGTTGCACATGCGTCACGCCATGTCGTGTGTTGTGGCTCACGTCATTTTGTACCATTAACATGTAAGGTTTCATCCAATGGAACTTTGTCGACTTGGGATAGATATTTATCCGAGGAGAAAATTTTAAGTTGACCTTAGCATCTTACTATTCATCACTCAAATGCCTTTTAGCCATTAGGAAATTTATGAACTCTATCCATCACCGTAATTAATGGTGTTATTTTTGGGAAAATCACCCAATTAAAAATCCACAATTATAATTGTTTACCTATTGTATCATTTGATGATAAAACCACCAGTTAGAGGACTCGTGTCACTTCTTTACTCGCAAGATATCATTTAAGAATGTATCGTATCGTTACACTAGATTATATGTTAGCTTTTCATGAACTAAGGTTATTCATAAACTTATCACTCTCGACAAACACTTGTGGAGGATGGATTGATATTTGTTTAAAGTTTAGAGCAGTAGATTTCATTTGAATAATTTTATATTTTGATAAATATTAAAATTTTAAATTTTATTGAAATTTAAACTCTGAATGATTAACTTTGAAATTTTGAAACATTTTGAAAATAATGT